TTCTTCTATAAAGTAGTTTTCTTAATTTTTGCAAATTGATATTGATTTTTTTTACAAATTCATCAATTCTCTTTTGCCCTGCTCTTTTCTCTTAAATTAAAATGAATCAAAATAATCATGATTAAAATTTATACTCCAAAATAATTGAATTTGAAGGATCGGAAATCTGTTCTTCCACTAAGTGTAACTTAAAATTTTCACCATTGGTCCTGATTTTAACACAACACTTTATAAAGTACATAAATATCGTCTGAATTAGCACTCTTGCTTCTCTAATTTCATCTAATGTCTTACAACTGAATGCTTAGGTTTCAAAAGTCTTATTTCATGATTCATTATTTTCTTTTATTCTCTTTGAATCTAGTTGCATTGGATCAAACTTTATACATATATATCTTTTGTCGGATTAGCGAGGTCAGGAAAAATAGTTTACATGTTATCAGGAATAAGCAACCTGCCATCGTGAATGCATAATTTTGAAGTTGGTAAAGTTGGCATGTTTTATATGAAAGTGATCAGCCATGATAACTCCACACCATTTGTCTAACCAAAAGTTGATGTTATCTCTAATTCCTATGAGCCAACATGTGTTCCCTTCAAAATGTGAGTAGCCCTCCTTCGTGCCAATCCAAATGGAAGTTGATATGTGATGTCTGATAGACCATCTTGCCTTTAAGAATGTTCAACATTGATTGTTAGAATTAGTCATTTTCCAGCATTGCAAGACATTTGATGCTACATGTAAAGACACCAGGGATCTAATATTAATCCCACATGTCTAAATACTTTGAAAAGATTTCTTCCAAGTTACAATTATTAGTTTCTCGGTGGACGTGTCTCTACTCTAGATAAAGTTCATGTACCATTTTTATGTGTCCTTATGGAGAAACCTTGGCCAAGAGTAGACCATCTGAGTGTGCATTAGCATTCCTTGAATAATAGTTTTAACTGGAAGCATTCTACTAGTAATGGAAAGAAATGATGCTTTCTAGGTGTTTAATTTTCCTTTTAATCTATCAAAAATAGGTTAGAAGGAAGATGCCCAATGCAGAATCCCAATTTGCCAGCTATCAAATGTTTCCTTTTGGGGGGTTCATAGAACCTGCATAGATGATATATTTATATGAGTTTATGTGACCCACACAATCAGTTGTTTAGGTTCAGCTCAACACAAATCTTAACATGTTTTTTACGCAAAGCCTCCATAGTTCTGACACCAACTTTAATTAATTTTTCAGTGGATGTAGAAGAAACACTGAGCACACTTTCATCATAATATCTCATTCCTAATTTAGAGATATGAATTCAAGATCTCCTACTATCAATAATACCACTTTTTGAGTCGGAGTCTAAAATCCAGTTACAAGATGGTGATCAAATATCACCCATAACCCATCTTTTGTAATTCTTTTTTGTTTCCAATCATATCAAGCTTGACCGTGTAAAAGTCACACCATGTGTCCACCAAATCTATATCACTCACTTGTTTCCATACTACCTCAAGTTGATCTTGCATGGTAAAAAAATCAATAGATTTCTCGAATGATTTAACAATCACCACATTAATACAAGGCTTTCTTAATTCGTCAATCACTTGATCTGCAATCGAGCAGTGTAGCTCACTATTTTCCATTTCATTGCAAAAAAATTTATGGTAAATCAAATCAATAATTTTTCATTTAGGCAAACGCGTTTTTGAATTAAAAAATTTGTATCAAAATATTATTTTTAATTTCGAAATCACGACTTCCACTATCATCAAATGATTTTGGTAATTATTGTTCTACCATGACATCGTTTTACTAGAAAAATTTATCTTCAAATGCTATATACACTCTACAATCATTATTATAAATAAATTTAATGTGTTTAGTTAATTTAATAATTAATGTATTTAGTTCATATATAATCTACATACATCATTTGTTAAATGAAGAAAAAAAAAACTTATAATATTATAATAATGAGAAAGTGTTTTTTTCTATTACACTTTATAGTGTATAACTTAATTATTTATCTTTTTAATATCACATTATATCCTTATTCAATTTTATATTTTGTTTAATTATATTTTATTGTGTTTTATCCGTATCTTGTTAAACCACTTTAAATATATTCAATAGTAATCTTTTCAAAAAATTTTCATAAGGATAACTTTTTGATAAGGATAATCTCTTGAGTTATTAATATCAAATTTTTTAAATAAAAGAATAATAAATTTTTGAGAAATTAATGAATATGTATTGACATAGTAAAAAGTTTTATATTATCAATTTATCACCATCATCCGTTTATATTATTTTATAAATTATTAAAATAAAAATCAAACTTTTTTTTATATCTAACATTTATAATTAATTGACAGTATAAAATCTTTTTTACGGTCAAAGTATTTTAATTAGGATAATGCTAACCTATGTCCTTGGGTGCAAGTTAAAAACTAAATTAAAAAATATCATCTTAAAAATGGTGTACAAACTTTAATTAAAATATAAAATTATTTTTTCTAATATAAATTTATTATAAATAAATTTCTTAACTTACGTCCCAATGACACAAGTTAAGGTTACCCTTTTAATTAAATTCTTTTTTCAAATATGTTACCTTTCAAATGCTCAATAAATTTAAAAAACACCTTACAACAAAAAAGGTAACCACTTTTCCACTTGATTCTTTCCTGTCAACAACAACAAAAAAGTGATTCTCAAGCAACCAAATTAATTTTATTGAACACTTTTTTTTCCAATGATATTTTTCTTTTTCTTAGTTGGTCCCATGAAACATGCACTTTCTTCCCTACTATCTGGAATAAAGGTTGAAGCATCTCTCTCAGTTTTAAAAAGGTTGAAGCCTCTTAAACATCAAATTTTGTCCCTTCTCCCATGTTGGCGCGTGTTTAACACGCGCTTCCATAAATGGCTACACAAGTTGACCCAACAAACCCCTGAAAAAAATAATTTCTTTAATTTACTTTTGTATTATTTGACTTTTTTTTTGTATTACCATTCCAAGAAAACAATAAAACAAAAATAAAAACATGATATTATTATTATTAAATGACTAAACGTGTGTCTATCAAATTCAATTACCTGCAACAACCAATGTTCAACAACGCGTGGCTCAACCAAATCTTAAAGTACATACTTACCTGCCCAATTTGTTTTTTCTACAATAAAGGTAATTTGTTTTTATTTAAAAAACTACTTTTTTTAAATCTATTTTTAGGAAATAAACAAAAAATTACATTTACTTTTTTGAATTTCATTATTCAATAAACTATTACCAGTCTTTTTTAATAAATAAAATTATATATATATATATATATATATATATATATATATATATATATATATATATATATATATATATATATATATATATATATATATATATATATATATATTATGGAGGAGAGAAAAAAAATTACATATAATTTTTATCATTTATTTTAAAATTTAATAATTCATATTTATTTTCATATAAAATTATCGATCTCATAAAATATGTTTTATATATATATATATATATATATATATATATATATATATATATATATATATATATATATATATATATATATATATATATATATATATATATATATATATATATATATATATATATATATATATATATATATATATATATATATATATATATATATATATATATAATTTAATAAATCTCATTAACTTAATTAAATTGATAAATAAATAAAAATAAATATTGACTTCAGAAATCAAACATAATAAATTGTATATAATTTAACTAATTTATAAAACTCACTAATTTAATTACATTGATAAATAAAGATAAATAAATGCTAATGCGAGAAATTAAACCTAAATCTCACTAATTTATAAATTATATTTGTTATTAGAATAATTATTTAAAAATAATTTTTTAAATATAAAATTTAACAAATGAATTTTGACGAATGACACGTCAAAAACCTAAAAGGTATGTTTTCATTTAAAAAATTAAATTTCAAGAAATATTAAATTAAACCAACAATAATTAGTAACAAACTTGTATTTTAATATTTTTTTTACTATGTCAAACAATCAAAATTATCAAATTATTGACAAAAATATTTTTTAAATTAAAAAAATTAATTTAAATTGTTATTACTTGTATTTCAAAATATATTATTGGCTATAACTTGTTGAGGTAGTATAAAACTTTTAATAATACCTTTTTTATTATATAATGAAAAGACATCATATCAAAAAAATTTATTCAGAGAATCAATTTTTTATTTAAAAATAATTTTAAAATCAAACATTTAAAAAAATTTCACCTTTTTTGCACAATTTATATATTTTTAAATAATATTCCATTTTTAAAACTTGATAAATCATCGCATAAATTTTTTATGAAATATTATAGATAAAAAATATAATTAAAAAAAATGACACTTCATGAATTTATATAGTGTAAAAAAATAATTAAACTGTTTGAAATTAAACTAAAAATTAATTTTATATAATCAAATCTATAATTTATCCTATGAAAAATAATTCTTTATGAATAAACAAATTAATTTAAACCTAAGTAAATAAAAATTCTTAAAAAGTTAAAACAAACTTTCGTAAAGCAAGCAATATTCTATTGAAAGTAAAAAAACTACTCTATCATTTTATTTTCAGTCAAACCTTATTGAATAAAAAGTAATTCCTTTTATAAAAAATAAAATAAAGTATAGTATCAATTTAATTATAAAAACGACCAATTTGAGAAAATAATATTAAAAAAAACAAAAAGGCAATCGATAAGAAAACCGTTGAGATATTGTAGTAAAAGTTAAATTACTTCAAATCTGGCTCCTTGATTTCTATATAAATACTCACACATTCATTCACCAACATCCTCCTCTCTCTCTCTCTCTCTCTCTCTCTCTCTCTCTCTATAAGCAAACAGCTTTCTTAGCTTCTCTTTACCGCCGAAAGTTCCAGATTTTCGTTTCTGCTTTTCTCGCTTCATTCAATTCGGTTTTCTTCATGGTAATTATCTCAATCTTGCTCCATTTTTTTCATCATGTTCTATTATAATCTCTTTGTTAATCGTTTCAATTTTCAAATATTCATGTAATTAATTCATCAAACTGTAATTAATTCTTTGTTACTTAGTTATTCAGTTTCATACGCTTTGCATCTTCAATTGTGTTATTTGATTCATCTCATGAGTTACTCTTTGATTTTAGATGTTATTACTAGTACATGCAACAGTTTATTCTTTTTCATGACTTTATTTTATTGATTTTTTCATTGATTAAATTTCCATCCAGAAGGAAAACATATATTTAATTTCCCTTTTTGTCCCTCAGAATTGAATAACATGCTGAAATTGTTCTCTTAAAAATTCCACATTGATGATATTTGATTTTGATTTTGATTTTGATTTTTTATTTGACTTATTTTTAGTTTTTTGGTGATTTCTACATTCAGATGAATTATATTTTTAAAAATTACTAATATACAAACATTTGTTATTAATTTTATTAATTGATTAATATTTGATTTGATTTTGATTTTTTCTTTTACTTTTTTAAAAAAATATTTTTGGTGATTTCTACATTAAATCAACCTAATATGTTTATAAGTTCGGTATTGACACCAGCACGACACCGACCCTTGTCATTCCGATTAATTTATTTATTTTTTAAAATTATTACGTGTGTCTGTGTTTGTTTCTTCTTCCATGTTTCATAGTTTATAAGAACTAAAATACTAGTATTTGTTTGTAAAAAATTGCTAATAACTTTATATGATCATTGTGGTAATAGATGCCGACGAATGTGAACCCTGATTCATCCGACAAAGACTCTGAGGTATTCGCGGAAACTGATCCAACCGGTCGATACGGTAGATACACCGAACTATTAGGATGCGGTGCGGTGAAGAAAGTGTACCGAGGGTTTGATCAAGAAGAAGGAATTGAGGTAGCATGGAACCAAGTGAAACTAAGAAACTTCTGTGATGAGCCTGCTATGGTAAAGAGGCTTTATTCTGAAGTGAGGTTGTTGAGAAGCTTAACAAACGAAAACATTATCGAGCTGTATAGTGTTTGGACGGATGATGAGCGCGGCACGCTCAATTTCATCACTGAGGTTTGTACTAGTGGGAATTTGAGAGAGTATAGGAAGAAACATAGGCATGTGTCGATCAAGGCGTTGAAGAAGTGGTCGAGGCAGATTCTGAATGGGTTGTATTATTTGCACACTCATGAGCCTTGCATCATTCATAGAGATCTTAATTGCAGTAATGTGTTTGTTAATGGGAATGTTGGCCAGGTAATTCACCATTCTTATTCTGTTTTTCTTTCTGTCATATATAAAACATTAAGGGAAAATGATTGTTATAAAACGGGACACGTCTAGAATTGATTAGATTATTTCCAACTTCTGGGTGGTAGATGAATATAGGTATCTTTGATTTTCAATTCCGTCTTTTATAAATTATGCGTGCGTTGTCCGTGTTTATGTTTGTGTTTGTGCCTCTGTATCATTCATAGATGAATTTATGTATCTTTGATATTCAACTCAGTTTTTCTATAAATGATAAATGACGTCTGATGTTTTGACAATACTTAAAGTGTTCCACGTCCGTGTTTGTACGTGTTTCACTCATTGTGTATAAGTTGTGATTTCCGTACGTCTAATGAACTTGTTATATGATAATAGCCGAAAAAATGTTATTAACAAATTTTCTTTCATTCAATTGCTATTATCAGGTTAAGATTGGTGACTTGGGTTTGGCCGCGGTTGTTGGGACAAATCACATTGCACACACAATTCTCGGCACACCGGAGTTTATGGCACCAGAGTTATATGATGAAGACTACACAGAACTGGTGGATATATACTCATTTGGAATGTGTTTGTTGGAGATGGTGACTCTGGAGATTCCTTATAGCGAGTGTGACAATGTCGCCAAGATTTACAAGAAAGTGTCTTCTGGTATTAGACCTGCTGCCTTAAACAAGGTCACAGATTCTGAGGTGAAGGACTTCATTGAAAAGTGTCTTGCTCAACCAAGGGTTAGACCTTCTGCTGAGGAGCTTCTCAAAGATCCTTTCTTTGATGAACTTGTTGACGACGACGATGATGACGAAAATGCTGGTTATGCTGATTCATTCTAAAAAAACAGTTCTTATCTTAGTTTTTTTAGTTTGACTTATTTACCATTTTTAGTTTATATGTTAATTGGCAATTTGGGGGAAGGGCTATATGTTGTGATTTGGGCTATATGGTATGATTTGATTTGATTTTTTCCCTTCTGCTATGGCTAATATTAGGGAGGGCTTAATTGGGGATGTTGTCATTTTGTACATAGGAGATTTTCAACAAATGTTGTGAAGCATATATATATTGAATGATGATTCTATAATAAGTTGTCAAGCATATATATTGAATGATGATTCTATAATAAATGTTTTGATTCTTATCTTTTACAATGCCCGATTTCGAACCGAGTGAATAAAGGTCGAGATGCATGCATCAAACCAACCAACCAATCGAGAAGACGGCGATTCATAAATCACAAGGAAGGAGAATTTGTTGTTACCTTTTTTCCTTCTAAAAGTTAAAATCACAAGAAATGAATTTGAAAATTAATAGGGTTATGTCATTTTCACCTTCCTTTATAAAAATGAGATTTTGAATCAATTTGAAGCAATGTGGGTGTGAAAAAGGTTTTATTTATCATTTGATTTGAAGTCAAAGAAATGAGGGAAGTCATAGGTTTGAAAACAAGTTGAGCAACATAGTACTATTTGTTTGGAGGCCAGCCAATAGATGAAGATTTCAATGACCATAGTGATGAGTTGTTCACATTTATAAATTGGATAAATGGCTATTGGAGTAAAGGTAAGGTTAACTTAATAATAAAGAGAAGTAAGAAGGTAAAGTGCTAATTTTGTTGGGAAATTAATTATGGTGGATACCCATTAAGGTGCCACATAATTTATTTCTCCTTCAAGCAATAGGCAAATTAGACAATGTTTAATATTTTGTCAATCATGGTTGGTCGGTTCTCAATATTTCTTAGAAGGAATTTTTTTGAGTGGTTTTCAATATTGATTTGAATTCATTTAGGTGAGATTATACTAGTTCTTATAAAAATTGGGTTGGACTAGACCTACTATTAACATCTCTATTTGATTTTTTATAAATAGTATTAATGAAAACTTTACAAATTACCATTTTATTTAAAAATATTAATAAAATATATATTTAAATATGAAAGCTTGATAAAATGAAATGTATTTAGATTAACAACTACACTTATATTAATCTGTTTCTCAACAAATAAATAGCTGTGAAAAATTAATATTTATATAAAAATGATTTAAGAAAATGCATCTAAATAATATATAGAAGTCAAGTTTCATCGTCATCATGATAATACATTGTCAAATATCAAATACTCGATGTGATATGTAACATTGTGAAAAGATTAAAGCAATCGTAAACATATTTATTGATTTTGTCCCATCAAATATAAGTTTATTTCTTGTGCTCCAGGTTCCACATATTTAAATGAGTTACATTATTTATCTCAATAATCATATTTTATATAATATTTAAGAAATTCACATTATCAATTTTAAAAAACTTTGTAATGACATTCGAAAAGTCACATTGACGCAAAATAGACACAACTCATAAGAAAAGTAGTAAACAACGAGTAATAGTTTTGACATTTCCAACAAAATAAGGATGCAGGAGAAATATTAACAGATTGATATTGCATGGCTAATTTGGTTAGAAGAGAGATATGACAAACCTTTTAAATAGAAAAAAAAAAATGAACGGTTACTACTTCCCCATATCCAATTCGAATAATCATTAAATTTTCAATCATGATGCATAAATGACAACCAATAAACCCACTTATCGTAGTAGATACGCCATTAAGATTTTCATTCTGCAATTGACTGTTTTCAACAAAAGTAAGAAAAATTTGTGGCAATCTCTAGTTAAAGTAGTAACTTTTGGAGGCAACGAGAGATTTAAGTATACAATAATATTTGTATCATCAATTCATAGTTCATTGATATTTAATCCGGGACTTAGTTAAGAGTTAGCCTAGAAAGGAAAGGCTTTGAAAGCAAGTCAAGCATTCCAATCCCAGCGGATTAATCAATAGCAGTAGAGTCGTAAACAAGAACAGCAGAGACTGAACAAGTCACTTCCTTAAAGCGTGAACAAAACAATAAGTTAGGTCGTTTGATTATAAAATTCCTACTTTTTGTTTAAGAGATTTATTGAACAAGCCTTCTAAATAAAGGCGAAGAAGAATCATCGAACTAATGGACTTACCGCTCGCTCCCAGCCAACAAGAGTGTGAGATATCTTGGATAATCTAAAATAAAACATGTTTTAAGAGTTATGATTTTAACAACGCATTGATTTCTTCATCTCCTATATTAAAAATGAAACCATCTTTATGAAGAGCTTCGATAATGATATTTCATGTAGACGAGCTATCTTTCTTTTATATCTCGAAACATATCACTTCTAGAGAGATATTTATCTCTCAAAAGTGAAATTCAAATTTTCGTATGTGATTTCTTTAAGCTCCAAACAAGTTTACCTAACAAAGTAATGTTTTGCAGTCAGGATGGACGAGTCCCTAAACCACCTAACTTTTTAGCCGTAGTAATCTTGTTTCAATCAACCATATGCATGGATCAATCCGTCTTCCAATGCCAAAAAAGATTCTTTAAAGTTTTATTCAATGTCTCACAAACATATTGAAGAAATTAACAAATTTGCATACTATAAGTAGGTAAAGAAGTAAGAACAACTTTGGAAAGAGTGACATACCCCGACTAGTTTAAGAGTCTATCTTTTCAACAAAAAAAAAAAAATCTATTTCCCTGTTTGCGTGTATTTCATTTTGAATTCCAAATATTTCTAACCAATGGGTAAAACCTAATACTCGTGAGCTTTTCAATATAATTTTTAGTGTCTCGACAAACAAATTTAGAAGCATATGCTCTCTTAGCTAAACTCAACTTGACACCTGAAAAAAAAAACAATTTTTTTTTCAATTGTTAACAACTAATTTTTCTTTTACAAAAAGAATAATGAGATATTTTAGGACCATAAAAAATGATGTGCAGAGGTTGCGAATGACCAAAATTGCTTTATTAATCAAATCACAAAACTTTTTCATGCAAAGAACAAATTGATAAATAGATAAAGGATATCCTTTTAAAGGCCACTTCATTGACAACTCTAATCATATCATATAAAAATATTAAATTTGAATTTCACTATATTTGATATAGAAATAGTCTAATATTTTATTTAATGGAAAATAATTTAATAATATGATAATATCACTCGAATTAAGAATGAAAATAGGTAAGTTTGACTTATAGTCATAGAAACATATAACTTGGCCTATTTAAAACCCGATCTATTTAATTAAAAGAACAAACTTAGATTATTAAAAAACATTAGAAAACTTATAGACCGACTTTTATATATATATATATATATATATATATATATATATATATATATATATATATATATATATATATATATATATATATATATATATATATATATATATATATATATATATATATATATATATAGGTCGGTCTATAAAGTTTTATAGGTCAAATAGAAAATTTAAAAGCCTTAATGTAAATCAAATTTTTAAATAGATCTTCAGGTCAGACCAGATTTTTAAAAAGGTCAGAGCAGTCAAAACAAAAAGTTTATAATAGATTATTGGTTAGACTCAGGCCTTACAAATTTATCGTAAGTCAGACTCAAACCTTCTAATGTCCGACTTGGTCTATTTCTACTCCTAACTCGAATATTAATTAATATATATTTTTTGACAATTTAATTAATATATTTTGAGTTCTATATGTTCATATGTTAAAATATACTTATTTTATTTTTATTTATAAAAAAATTATTTTTAGATTCATTAATTAAATAATGGATTTTATTTATATATTGTATAGATACGTTGTTTATTAGGGGTGTAATCAGTTCGTTTGGGACTGATTTTTGGTCAAAACATTGTCTGAACAGATGATATCTCCATCGATTTAATTTGGTTTGATTTTTAGTATTTTTTAAAAATGAAATCAAACCAAAAAATAATCTAAAAATCGATTTTCGGTTTAAATGATTTTTTTAATCAACTTACACCCTATTGCTTATTTAGTTAATCTAAAAAATAATTTATTTTATAAATAAAACTAGAATAATAATTAAAGATTTGACCTTGTGAAATATAAATAAGTAAAAAGCAAAGATTTGGCGCAGGAAGAGGTGGAAAAGTCAATGCATTATTTATCCACAATGATTGGCTATTCATATGTCATGCGGTGGATGATGGATGGTAATGCTACTACTAATCCACTAGTTTCTGAAGATCGTAATCACATGTTAACATTTTATCCTGCGACAAATATCCCAAATTTAAAACAAATCATAATATTTAGTTGATTTTAATTCATGAATTAAATTAATTTAAATTGAACTATCAAAATTCATCAAATCATTGATTTGGCTAATGAATGTTAGATATGCTTGTGGGTGCAGAGTCATAATATCCCTCCTCTGAGTGATAGTTTGCTTGTTCAAGATGATTTTAAACACACAAATAGTAAAAAATAGATATTTTGGTTATAAATAAAATTATTATGGATGTCTATTAATTAGGAGATTTTATATTTATTATATATATGTTATATAAATAAGAAATATAGATTTGGATCTCTCCTTTTTTATATATCATGTCATCTCTTATGTTTTAATTTAACGGTTCAGAATTTACAATAAATAATTAAATAAAAAAAGTTATTTAATAGGAGAAAGAAATGAATAAGTAATTTGTCTTTGTTATTTTTGTCTAAGTTATTTAATTATTCATTATAAATTCTGAACCGTTAGATTAGAAATATGAGAGATGACATGATATATAAAAAAAGAGATGATCCAAATCCATTCTCTATATAAAGAATGCATCACCTTCGTGAAAGCATGCTTTAATTGGGATTTGGATGCTCTCCTTTTTTATATATCATGTTGTTTCTCATGTTTTTAATCTAACGGTGCAGAATTTATAATAAATAATTAAATAAAAAAAGTTAGTTAACATGAG